GTACAATTAGAAAAAAATGGACGTTCACCAATAAAAATATAAAACAAGAAAGTAGAAAATCTCTCTGGATACGCTTATAACAGATCAGCAAAGCAGGAAATCAGAAAAGGACGGGGTGCAATAAGAACGAGAATCGGCCCCATTTCAGATCTTCTCGAAAGGTATCTAGAATGAAAGAGCATATGATTTTATATACTATTTTTCTAATGGTTCGGTCTTGGACAATTTGACCTACGAAAGAATTCTCATTAGGCCGATTTGTTGCTGGACATTAAGAAGATGTTTTTCTATTTGTCAGAGGCATATCAAAATCTACCCGAGTATTTCTAGAGAAGCATATAATGAGATTTTTACATATTCAGAATCGTGGCGACGAGTTGCCATGCACGACGAGAAAAATGATCTTCTTGTATGAAAAGAAATGAAAAAAAAAACACCTTGCAACATGGAATTTTACAAGTTAAAAAAAATCTGAGGTAATAAAATGGTCATTTCCCGATGTCAACACATCAACAGGAAAAACAGAACAAAAAAAAGAAATCGATAAGATTAATGTTGCCACTTGAAGCGTTTTCTCTGTTATATGAGAACAAAATAAAGAAACAGTGTCAACCTAACATGGTATATGCAATCTTTTATGTTCTATCCAATGGTATCAACTTTAATAAGCCAAGATGGTGCCCTTTTTTTGAAAATTCAGTTTTTCTAGATCAGAGACGAAAAAGTCAGAATTCTGCCAGTAATTCTCAATTTGCTTCATCATAACTTAACTTCTGCGTAGTAAAAATATCACATTCGGAATCAGAGTGAAAACCTGAGTAGATTGATGTCTATTTCTACCATATCCGACTACTTCAATTTTTTTCGAATATTCATGTTGAAAAATTATCGACATTTTCACTAAAAAATAAAAATCAAGCATAAATTTCGAAAGACACATTGGTCGACTCAGTTTTTCATCCTGATTTCGAATATGATATTTTTACTGCTCAGAAGTTAAGTTATGATGGAGCAAATTGAGAATTACTGGTAGAATTCCGACTTTTTCGCCTCTGATCTAGAAAAACTGATATAGATAGCGTTACTTCTAATTGTTATTGTGAATTATTTTCGGAGAGTCAAACGCAATTTTCTTCACCAACATGCAATTTTTCAATCAGCGTAAACTTTTGCATCTAATACAAGTGTTTTCGAAAAAATCTGAAGGAAAAAATTTTTCACTTTTCCTGAGGGGTACCTCAGGTCGAAAAAAGCGAAGTATTGAATTTCAAAAAACTATATAGGCCATTTTGTTCAGCATCTTGAGTAACCTAGAAATCGATGGTTTTTAATAAAAAATATTAAGGGTCGAAAACTGATCTTATCTGCCCCTCTCCTTTCCTTATATCAATTTTTCACATTAGATTGCATATGTTACTGTATATTCTTTTGCTAAACGGTTAAATTCATCTCTATTAGTTAAATATAAAATGCCCTTATCTGGTTGCATACAGTATTCGGCAGTGGGCTCTTGTAAGAGATCAAAAATTCCTTTTAAAATATTTCCAATCGTGAGTGTTGATTTCCAGTTTTCACGCAGTAAATCTAAACAAATTTCGCCCGAACTTTTATCTATATTTGGATGAAAAATTGTTGTCACCATTTGGCAATTTGGTGGTTTTAAGGGATACAGTTCTGTAAATCGAATATGAATTTTGAATTTACCATTTTCATAAGGTGTATTTGTGGGACCATGAATTATCACTTCCCAATTGAACTCGTCTTTATCACTGAGTCTATCCATAAATATTGGTTTGCGAAATATCCAGTCATTTCGTTCATTTTCAATCCTTCTAACGCAACCAGGAGAAATTGGCTTCGAAAATACTTGTGGCTGTACCAATAATGATCTTGTCATGTCGATTCTCCGCGTATTAGCTAGAAATTGAAGTAAAAATAAGTTTCTTCCAACGTTAACAACTATTTTTCTTACGTATCTCTCCTAGCGAGATACTGACAGAGAACAACAAAAATCGTGGATATATATTACGCCTGACTTAACCTAACGAATTTATAACTGAAACAACGATCAACGAAACGACAAAATTCGTTATGAATAAATATCAGAAGGAGAAGCCGCACTTGACTTTGAAATTACAGTCATTCCCATTATATGGCATTAGCTGATGAGGAAAGCTTCCGACGATTCCTCTCGCTTTTTGATTGAAACGTAACGTAATCGGACATGCTGATGCCAAATATCATGGTTGAAGCTGCTTATGGATCTCTGGGTGCCGGTTTTCAGAAAATCAGGTCTCTAACCAAACCCTTTTCAGACAAAACTCACTCTTGATTTTGTCAGCTTACAGAACATGTCGAATCACCTATGTGAAAAACTTTTCATTACTATCGGATCAGTTGTGACCGAGTTATAGGCAATCTAAACCGACATACTCCTGAAATGCGAAACATGAGCGAAAATAGAGACTAACGGGCAAAATAACAGAAAATAAAAGAGTTAAATAAAATTACATGCTATCGATAATGAAGCTAACACCGTACAACGTTTAAAACAATTGGGAGTAGACGCTCATGTTATAAATAAATGATTGCTCATGTTTCTGAACATTTTGTGAATTAATGGGCAAGGTTAAAATAGAAATTTAAGAATAATTGCGGTTAGCATGTTAAGAGTTTTCATAAAAATTAAAACCAACGATCAAAATTACAATTCGATATTTCGACCTATTGATACTGTCGTTTTCAAATTGCTCTTCGTACAGAATACTACATAAAAATGACAAGAGTAAAGCTGACTATATGTGCCTGATGTTTTGTCTCGTCTTTCTTTCATTTCCATACAGACATACACACTATGAGAGAAGACTACAGCATGATTCACCTATTTTCGAACACTTTTGGTCTTTTGTCCCATTTACTCTTCAAGCTTGCTTTATCAAAACGGTTTTATTAACATAAACGTCTGGCATCAGTACTTGTGCAATATGTTTTTATTTCAGATAATAACAATGCCTCGTCATAAAACATCAGATTTAGTTGAAGATCTATCAAATATGTATTTTACTTGCCACTGATTATTATTGTAATGTTCATGATATCAGCTTTTTCACTCACTTAGCTCTTCTTCTACTAATTCAAAAACTAGCTGCAAGGATCATTTCAAATGATTATGTTTCTGAGAGTAATGATCTCTTGAAAACCTAAGTGCTTATCGTGAAATTGAGAAGAACACATTCCAGGCTGAAATTTTTTCTCAAAATTCTGATAAACTATTGTGCTCTCTCCCGTTTCCAATTTCTGTTGCCTGTAATCAGCCTAATAACTTCAAGAAGAGATAATAAATGTTGTGGGAAACTCAAATCCGGTATAGCATTTTTGTTTCTATCTTTAGCATGCGATGAATGGTACTCTCCACCTCTTTCTATTATTGTATGTTTTTCTGTTAAATCATTTAAAGCTCTTAAAACATTATTATCAATTTTGTCATCTTCCCGTTCGTTTTCTTTCCCTTCTGCTTATTCGTTTTGTTCTTCTCTCTGTATCCATAGGTATTAAAGTACGTGCCTGTATGTAATGATTTCCCTAGTGAAAGTACTCATACTATGAGTACGACTTTACTCTTAATTCGTCCATGAGTACTTATATGAGTTCTACTAACAATTTTTGGGTATTGCTGCTCAGTGAGTACTCAGAAAATATTCATTCACCGTTTTATTTTGCTAAAATGAAACTGTATAAAGAACGTAGAATTTAGTAAAGAACAGAATGTTTATGTAACTCTTTTCTCGCTGGCCTCTCTTTACATATTCAAAGATGAACTCGTCTATGACTAGACTTGTAATCCAACTCCTGCGATCACTCCTCTATATGAAAATACCAGATGAGCAATATTCAGGAGTATTATGTCAAAAGTTATATGGGTATTCAACAATACTCAAGCATGAGTACTCAAAGTCGTACCTACAATACTCATTACTCACTCATGTGTACTTCTCGTATTTTTCAGCATGTGTACACATCTGCGTATTTACACTTGAGTACATTCACTAGGGTTCATACTCTTGCACTTTAATAAAGTGACTGATTGTATCTCCGATGAAAATGACAAAAACGAGTGCACGAAAATAAATCATTTTTAGATGCAGTAAGGTCAGAAATAGCTCTTCTCACGATTTCAAAGATTTCTATTTCCATGAGATATACACTTGCATAGCCTGCACAAAAATTCTTCATTGAGGATCAGTCTTCCTCTTATATACTCTTATTATTAATAAAGATTTATTTTATTCTTTGTACTTTACTGCCTATTGCTTCGTCAACAGCTTTTGTAGCTTTAACGTTACTCAAATGTCCTTTCAATTCTAGTAATTTTTACTAGCCTGAAAACGTAGAATCCCAAGAGAAAAAGCTTGGCTTACCAGTCTGTTCTTGTTGGAATTGATTGAGCCATCTCTGTACCTGATCACGATCAGGATCATCTACGTATAAGTTTGCTAATAGAAACTCACAATACTGTGTTGTTTTATCATTACCATTCGGACCGCCAAACGATAGGTATTTTGCTAGTATTACGTACATATTTGTTTCACCCATTTGGTTCGGTAAATAATTCGACTTTATCTCACCCTCCATCTCATCTTCTTCTGCACTTCGTACTAATAACAACTCCCAAACATTATCCTGATAAAGAAAAACAAATAAATAAAATGGAATTCTGCCAAACTACCTAAAATTGTTTACTGTTAAGATATCTGAATTTTAGAAAAGTTGTGATTCTTAAGAAGAGCTCCATATTACAAATCAGTTGTGTCTGCGAAACGACAAACTGTTTTGGCTTATATTTTTTACTGTAAATACAACAAATATCACAATGAGGAGCTATAGCTAAGGTAGAACTTTGAACTTTTTATCGAGTACGGTAACAAAACAAATTTACAATCGATTTTACTGGAAAGGGCTTCGGATCTATGATATGATGGAACCCTATATTGATCAATGATCTGTTATTCACTGGAACGCTCTTGGCGGACTCTTAAGTTTTTTCTAGACCGATTAACGAGTGAGGCATTTATTTTGCATTTGATATAGCACCGCAACCACACATCGTAGAGACTCGATTCTTTTTCTGTTAGAAAGAGTTTAATTACTACCATCAAAACATTTAAAAAGCTTCAATGCAAAACGGTTCAGAAAAGTGTAAATTGTTTTGAAACAAATTCGACTGAAAACGTGTCTCGTACATTTTTTAAATTTAGAAAAAGCATTCTTTATCCAAGAAAGCTGAATCTTTTATCTGTTTTATATGCAGTTTTGTAATATAAGCATTGAGCATTGTTGATGCGCACGAATAAAATTTTCAGAAGTTCTATGGCACTGGAAACATAGGCTTTAGAACATCCTGAACTATCACTAATTTTTCATCACTAGCAATGAAATTCAAGAAGTAACAATTTTCTCCAATGAAAAGGTTAATAGAAATGATCAGTTTTACATGAAACAAAGCTTACGGACTGATTTGTAAAGCCATAACAATATTTGAAACAGAATACAAGCATTATAAAAGAAAAATTATACTTTTAATAAAACCATCATGTGTTTAGTCTCTTACATTGAGCGCCTAATGTTTTGATATGATATGGAAGTTCTCATCGTACTCAACAATCTCGTACGTAACGCGCATGGAGACTTTGAAAATCGGGCACTTTTCTAGTCGAGTTCGTTCCAAAAACAATGTCCATCGTTTTTAACCATTTTCTATTCATGTTCTTTATGTTTTTATAGTAGAGACTGAATTTCAAACAGAAAAGATTTGAGTCTCTACGATTTGTTGTTGCGGAAAACATTTGCCAAACCCGTTATCCAAGAAAAACAGGCAGTTGACTATTCATATCCCCGATCCAGCTAAATGTAGATCTACCTCAGACTAGTTTATGGCTAAAATTTAGGGTTTAAGAATCTGTTCTATAATCAATCTGTGCTCCTTTTTTACGAAGAATAAACAATTCTGTTTAAAATGAGACGTTTCCTTCATGCGTCATTCAGACGACCTGTATGCATTTCGCGGCTTATTTATTTCTTATATTTTTTGCTTCCAGTACACGCAAAAGACGAAGAAAACTAAAAGGTTTGTCTCTCCTAAATGAGGCATCGTGTAGAGCTCAGAGATGTCTCATATTAACGCGAATTATTAATTCGATGTACATTTAAATATCATGCCTATTGATAACAGAATTTCATCCTCGTCTTTGTTTGCAGTTTCTCCTCTGAGATAACCAAATGGTTTCGATTTATTTCGTTTAACATCAATTTCCATTTTAAATATAACAGAGATGTATCCAACTGGAACTTTTCCTTCACCCGAAAATGCTATAGCAACATCTCTATCATATGTTGTTGACACAAATGAATTTGTTAACACAAGACCACTGATATTATTTTGTAACGTTTTAAATTCTTCTACCATCATTATCATACCTCTGTACACAGTGAACGTCGCTAGAATTGTATCTACGATCTGTGGATGTAATTCCTTTAACTTTTCGTATAGATCATGTATGAATATTCGTACTTTGAACATGAGTCGAATATTTTCTCTACGACATGTTTTATTTACTACTGAGGATAAAAAGAATAAGGGACTAGTGTACCATTGAATAGGTGATATATGAGGATATGTATTGTTAACCAGTTCAACTTTTTCGAGCATAGGCTGATTATTTTGATAATAACTTTTACAAAATTCAATAAAATCTGCTTTACTTCGTTCTGTTTTTGGTAATCGAAGTAATACTTCAGTTAATAATTGATGTAAAATAAATAATCGACTATCTACATTTAAATTTTTCATTAGCTTTTTTGTTGCATCTTTCTCTAAACTATTAAATGGATATGAATATTTTCCAACATCGTCTCTTATTCGTTCATGTAAAGACGAAACATTGTCAACTGTTGATAATTTTCTATATTGTTTGATCCATGGAAACTCTTCACTGGATGAGTTTAATAAATAGACACAAAGAACTTGTTGTAATCTATTAATATCAGACAAATATTGCTCCGATGGTAGAAAATCTGATATAATTAAAAATATTTTTTCTTTGATCATTTGTCGCATATCATTATAACACTGTTCATTGCTTTTATATTGATTAATATTTTGTACAATAGTTTGTAAACCAATTTGAATATCAACAGAATTCTCATTATCATTTAAATCATTATCGAGCCAAACAAGTCTAAATTCCTCAAGTTCAACTTCAGATTGATGAAGTTGATCTGGCCGTTGTGTTGTTACAAAAGGAGCAGACCAAGTTGTACTTTCGTTGAAAGACGCCATGAAAATAGCTAAAGTTTATTAGCAAAAGAACGTCATACATCGTACGAAACAACCCCAGTCATCGGTTCTTATATAAGAATCAGATACGAAACTTGTACGAAGCCTGTAAGAATCTTACAAGCAACTTATAAGATTATAAGAATCTTACTCAATTCGTACATAAGATCTTCCATGAAAGTGATAAGAATTCTGCTGAATCTTATACGAATTTGATAAGAATCTCAGAAGAATTCATAAGAAATTGGTAAGAGTCAGTAAAACTCGTACGTTATTCTTATCAGATCCTTATGAAAAACATGATCGACTCTTCTACAAAAAAATTTCAGTACAATACTGAAAAAAGGTTAGCTCTACCAGTGCGCACGGCATCCCGTTGCGATGGCTTATACTTCCTTCAATGATAAGTCCTTGAGTTTATTGTATGCGTGCGCTAAGATACGTATTTTGTAAGTATTACTCTTTTATTTTACTCCACTTTAAGAAATAATTATAACCTCCTGAAACTAAAATACCTTGACTATATATACGTCTTATGTTCTACTACCTGCCAAAAGATCAGAACTGTAAAAAGAAAAAGAACAACGAAACAACACAACTATCAAGAAAGAAAGGACAGAACAAAACAAACTAGTATACCTGTATGAAACAAAAAGTAGAAACGACTATTAGGTATTTTTGATATATTAATATCTTCGATATTTAAATCTTGTTTAAAATAAAATTTCATTTTTGAACTCTTTTTAAAATTTCTTCATTTTAACCATAAGTCGTTTTTCAACCATAAGTCTGATTTCTAATATCTTTAAGAGTACCACATTTTATTCAGTTTTCTTTGCTCTTTCGACTGACATATAATTCAAAAGTTTTAAAATACAAAACGAATGAAAAATAATCGAATAAAAGAACAGTCGTTTTTTGACAAAAAAATTTAACGCATTTGTTTATAGTTAAGAAACTGTTACACTAAACATGTTGAATACAAAGGAAGGACATTTTCCTAACAATACTTCATCAGAATTAGAAAAAAATACATTTTAAAAGTGGATACCGCATTTTATGTTGACAAATTTTACTAGAAGTATTAGCTAGTTATCCGAACAGATTGATACATACGCATTTAACTCATTCTTTATCTGCTAACTTCAGTGCTATACGATAAACTTTTATATAGTCGTCTCTGCAAGTAAGATCAATATTATTGTAAATGGCACCTTTACTTTTCTTATCATTTGTCATTGATAATAATAGCTTATGATATTATTCGGCTTTATCAAATTCATCTGGTATGGATAAATAGGTGCCAAATGTTAGGTTGTGTACAGATTCACCCATTATATCCATATAATGTTCCTCTATTGACGCATCTAATTCCATATCTCCATTTTTGCCATAACTAAGACGTACAGACCATAAATTACTAGTCAACGGTTTACCAGAGTGAATTTTAAATACAGCACCCATCGAAAATATAATCTCATTTTTATCATTTGAATTTAAATTAGCAAATGGCTTTTTAACAGTATTACGCACATCGATATCTGTTTTGAATATAACAGATACAACATTGTATACCAATTGATTTGAACTATCACCACCATATGTACGTGCAGTATTCAATAAGCGTGTCGTTGTTAGAAAAGAATTTATTGAAATAAAACCATCAGTATTAGCTTTCAACTTTTGTAAATCATTAATGGTCATCAGTTGTCCTCGATAAACCATAAGATGGTCTTGTTCAGCCGGTAATGTTGCAACGAATCGAGTATGTGACTTCCTTATTTCATTATGTAGGTCGTTAATAAAATACCGAAATTTAAACAATGTATTCATATTTTCTGTGTAAAAAACTTCATTTATTATACGATAAACGAAATTATTTTGCATATACCAGTCGATGGCTGTATGTGTTTCATCAAAACCAGCTGAATGAATTTGTCTATATTCTTTGTAGTGCAATCGATATTCAGATATTGTTTCTTCTTTTGCAGGATCAGTTTGCGACATATCAAGGATAAGGTCAATTAGAAGCTGAAAATAAACAAATTGAATCTGTTCTGTATTTAAATGATCACTAACAATACTAATCGACGTTATATAAAGTAATTGCTTTCATATAGATCAAGGTCTTCGGTTACTAATGTTTCTAGTTTGTCACTAACTGTGAAGTTTCCACGAATTTTTTTACAAGTGGATAATAATCTGTCGCTGCACAAATATAAATAAATAAAATGAATCTGTGGGAGTCCGTGTAATCGTAAAATCGAATCATCATCTGTATGACCTACCAATAAAATAGCTTTCTTTGTCTGATTTTTCACAAATGTTATACACTCACCGATGCCACTGAAATGGTGACATGTGAAATGCTACAATTCAATTTTGTCCATAGAGAAAGTGTTCAGAGAAACAAATATACAAAGTTCTATAGCATAATCGATATCGGATCGATGAATTGAGTCAGCAGTAACTGTTGAATGTAATTCTGGTGTTAATTCGCTTTGTACATACATCCGTTCTAATTGGCAATGCTCACACGCCCATGTAAGAAGTCCTTCCTTACTCTTGGATAAATCACTATTGAGTGATGCTAAGTTTCTGTAAATACACCACTGATTTTCCAATATCTTTTGGGCCAAGTATTATCCCTATGACAGGAATTTCCAGTATGTATGTAAATACGTTCTATTTGACTTTGATCCTAAATGAGTGGTAGAATTGTATCGACGTACGAAGACGACGATAACACCAGATATATTCTCTTATTAAAAAATGATCTTATATAACATACACATTCGAAGGTATTTTTGACAATTTGAGTAATCCAGTTAAAATGAATACACCTGAATAAGATGATTACACCACCCTATTGAGATCAATACACTCGAGGGAGGGGAGGTGAAAAAATAGGTCAAAATCAAAGCTTTTTGAGTATAAAACTTCAACTCCTTCTC